CAAATCATTTCCATCTCCTCTTCCTGCTGCTCTACCACCACCACCACCACCACCACCACCACAGGTTTCCCTGTGTAATAGTCCTGGCTGTTCTGGAACTCACTTTGTAGACCAGGCTGGCCTTGAACTCTTTTACTTTTTTTTTTTTTTTAATTTGGAAGAGCAGCCGTGTGGAGGTCAAGGAACAATTGTGGGAGTTGGTTCTCTCCTTCCACCATGTTGGTCCCGGGCTGGGAGCAAACACCCTCAGCCGCTGAACCACAAGGCGAGCAGATTGCTTCCAGCGGGAGCTGAGACAAGATCTCCGGCTCTGTACCTGTCACCCAGTCTGTGAGCTGAAGGCAGGCACAGCTCCCCACCAGGCTGGTCTCAGCAACAGTAATTCAACTACCGCAGTGCTGCTAGCCAGCCTCCGTGCGACCACTGGCGGAGACCTCGACCTAGACATAATTAATGCCCCCTCGTCTCCAAGGGAGACAAGCAAGACTGCGCGTGGAAAGGCAAACGCAAATATCATTAATATTGCACATCTGTGCAGGGTGCAACGGAGGGAGGGGCGGGGCGGGTGCAGTCACACACCTGGTGACACCCACAGCTCGGCGACGTCGCCGTCGCCTCTGCTGGGCGGCGGGGGCTGCGGGGCGCGGTCTGGCACATCCGGCTGGCGGGTTCCCGGGAGGATCCCCGGTGAAGCTCACAGGAACTGGCCCTGAGAAGGTTCCTAGTATCATCGCTACTGTTCCTGTCACTGTCCCGGGAGGGGGGGGCAGCAAGAAGAGAGAGGAAAGGTTTCCAGGTCGCGGCGGATGTGTAGGGGGTCGTCAAAGGTCTCGTTTTGGAGGTTACACAAAGCCTCGGCCCCAGGGTTCCCGCCCAAGACCCTCACAAGCGGGGCCAGAGAGCCCGGGAGGAGAGGGCGAGTGCGCGCGCGCAGAACCTGCCCCGCCCCCGGAGCCCCGCCCACCACGCCGCGACTCCCGCCCACCCAGCGGGCCGCCCCGCCCACCTGTCTGTGCGCCTGCGCAGCGCGCCCCGCTAGGCGGGAGGAACCGAGGGGAGGGCGTGAGGCGCGCGACGCCGGCAACCTCGCTCGGGCCCAAGTCACCGCCCGCGTCCCCGGCTGAGGCGGCCGCAGCGGCCGGCGTCGAGGGCGTGGCGGCTCCTCGCGGCCCCGGGCGGAGGGGGGGCTCTGTCCGCCCCAGGCGGTGCTCGTCACCCCCGGGCCTCTCCCCTCGAGTGCACAGGTGAGTGTCCCCTTCGCAGGGCGGGGCCGGCGCGCGGCCGCCGGGAGCAGGTTTGCAGCGGCGCTGGCTGATGGATGGATGCCCAGGACCCTTGAAAGTTAAAGCAGCCGCAGCCGCAGCAGCAGGCGCCCAGAGCTGCCCAGAGCCCCTTAGACGCTGCTAAGGGCCAGCCCCCTGGTCCCCAGGGTCTTCCCCGGACGCATCGGGGTGACATCCTACAAAACACCCCTCGCCCCCAAGTCCTTCCTCCTCCGCCACCAATTTCCCCCTCAACTGCACGACTTTATGAAAGATGGCAGGCCCAACCTGCCCCCGAGGGCAGCAGGAAAGGTGTGGCCAGTGAAACAGGGACGGCGGCAGCAGGTGGAAGCCCCTGTCTCCTCCCCCCCACCTCCTCCCTCCCCCAGGATGCAGGAATAATCATCCGTGCATCTCTGCTTCCCAGGCTTCTGGAAACTTGTGACCGCCTCCTGAACCGACGCGCTTTCAATAGCGGTCTGTTTCCAGGTTGCCCGGTTCCAGCTTCCGTGCGAAATCTCATCATCTCCTCAGGGGATTAAGATTGTAGCAGCTCACGTCCGTGTTTCAGATTCAAACTTGGATTATTTAGAGCGATGTTGTAGTGTAGGGTTTAAAACCAAAAAATACTCACGTCCCCCTACTGAGAGCTATCTAGTACAACACATTTACTTGAACTTTCCGTAGAAATCTTTCATCTACTGTTTGGCCAGAGAAGTAATTTCATCTGTATCTGTAATTAGAGATTACTTAAAAATCTTATTCTGAGAACTTGGTGTGGCACACATTTATACTCTCCACACTTGGGAGGCTAGCCTGGACCACATAACAAGGCCCTGTCAAAAAATAAAAAAAAAAAAAACCTATTATTTTATCACCAAGCCATTGCCTCTGGTCCAGTATATGAAACTGTAAAACGATATTTGATCCTGTGTGGTGATTCAGCAGGTAGATGCTGCAAAGCTGACCACTGGAGTTCCTGGATCGGGGGAACCCACGTGGTGGAAGGAGAGAACCAACTACTGCAGGTTGTCCTCTGACCTCCACGTGAGTGTTGCTGTGGCCACAGGCAAACACGTACATTAAATAAGTAAATATATTCTAGCAAAATACTGGGGCTGGAGGTCTGGCTCGGCTGTTAAGAGCACCTACTGCTCTTGCAGAAGACTGAGATTGGACTCCCAGCATCCATATGACAGCTCACAAGAGTCTATAACTCCAGGTCCAGGTGATCCCAACCCTCTTCTTACCTCTGAGGGCTCATACACATTCCTGATGCACATACACACACACAGGCACACACATACAGGCAAATAAAAAGCCAGAATAAATTAAAAAATATATCAAGTCTCAGCATCTAGATGTTTATGCAGCATGCAGAGTTGTTCTTTTTGACTGGGATTTTATCTTAGTAGTCTGATAGACTTTGGATGTAGGAGGGTTATAAAAAAAATTAAAATTAGTGTCCTATTAGTCTTTGCTACAGCTTTACTTTTTACCTCATTGGCAACCAGTTTCCAAGAGAGGAGGTTTTAGTGCTTTTGGGAAACATGGGAGTATTTTCTTGACTATTCAATTGTGATACATTTTAAGGTTTTAAAACCTTGTAGTCTTAAGCTAACAAATGAGAAGAATTGCCTTATGATGTTACAGGGAATGTGGATCCAAAAATGGGGAAAGGCGTGAAAAACAGTGTGACTTAGAACTCCATTCATCTGACCCTGTGTGGTGGCTGCAGGCTTTAATGTTCAGAAGCATTTGACTTAGCTCCAAAAACCTACAGAAAGCTCAACTCTGCCTGGAGCGATGTAGCTCTGTGGTAAAGTGCTTGAGGTCCTAGGTTCAATCCCCCATATGAGAACAGGAAAAAAGAAATCCTTCAGCCATTGAGTTGAGGGTGCATCGCCCTGGAGTGAGTGATTATGTTCAGGGAGGATGAGTTATGAGTTGTCTGCAGCAGAGCAAGTAGCATCAGTTGCTCTCCAAAGCCCTGCCAATCATCGCTTTCATTCTGGTCTTTCTCATACTAGTAGGTAGAGCAGGAACATCAATGATGATGATAGGAACAGTTACAGACTAGCAATAAAGTGGTGGGACTTTGGGTCCTGAAAACACTCAAAATACAGAAATGTCATTTTTAAGTTTTTCAAGGTTTATTTTATGTGCATGAATATTTCATCTGCTTGTATGTATATGTACCACATGCATGCCTGGTGCCCTCAGAAGAAGATATTGGATATCCTGGAATTATTAATTGTTGTGAGCTCCCATGTGGGTTCGGGGAACTGAACCCAGGTCTTCTGCAAGAGCAAGAGCCGTCTCTTTAGCCCCAGAAATATAACTTTTTAAAAGATTTATTTATTTTTAATTATGCACACGAGCATAGGTATCTGTGGAGACCAGAAGAGGGCATTGGATCCCCTGGAGCTGGAGTTGCAGGTAGTTATAAGCCAACTCTGGTCCTCTGCAAAAGCAATACATGCTGTTAACTGCTAAGCTGTCTTTCTAGCCTCCAAAATCTAATCTTTATAACCTATTTTACACTAACATTCCACCAACTTTATTATGCCGATTTTTGTTTGTCATTACTACTTAAAAAAAAAAAAAAGGTAGAATTCTACCTGTCAATGATTGATAAGAAGGAATGGAAGATAGAGGAATCATGGTAGACTTCAGAACCCTGATGTTGGCAGTCCTGAATGTTCTTTTGGAAAATTTAGTCTAAATTAGAAATTCAAATGAAGTACACATTTGCTTCTGGTGTTTTTGTAGGCATTTTGCTCATTTAAAAAAAGAATCTGGCTAAGATATTAAAATGTACCCCAAGTTGGGAAACTTAATATTTTTTAAAAGTTCTAGGGGAGAAAGAATTCACCTTTTCCTAATGAGCTGAAATTGCTTGGCATCCAGCCTTGGTGGATTAGTTTTGTCCCAGGGCTGGTGCAGCAGAGCAGATGGCCATGATCCTTGGAGGTTTCCCACTCATTTAATGTTTCTGTGAAGAAACCATTTGCCAGAAGCCAGCCAGGGCTAGAGCAGCACTGGAGATGTTGCTAAGCCAGGGTTGGCTCAGGTGGAGGCTGCAACAATTCCTGTATCAGGGATAGAACCTCTGGGCTGTGAAAGGATCCCAGGGTCTCCTAGTGCCAGGCGAGGGCTATAGCACTGAGCCCTAGCCCCGCCTTCCTGCTGTTTGCTCATGGCCTTAATGAAACCTCCTAAGTAGCTGCTAGGTTACCATACATGATGTCCATGCATATCTCTCTTTTCAATTTTAACTGCATTTAGAATGCCAGGAAATTCTGAAGTGATTGACCGTGTTGACTTCAAAACAAAAACAACAAAAAACCTCGTGTGTGTTTTTAGCAAGATAGCCAACATCTGTCAAGTAATGGCTGATACCGTATGCATTGCGTTGTGACGTCTTTCTGTTAAATCTGTTTTCACACTAGACGCAGATATCTAGATGAGTGGCTGCTCAGGAGCTGTTTACGGATAAACCCTCCCTGCTTTTCTCGAGGTCATACAAACTTCGTGATCTTTCAGAGGGTTGTTTTGTTGTTGGTTTTTTACCCTCCATATTATGACTTAAATATCATTTCTACCAACAGATCTGATGCTACCTGGGTCCTTCCAACCAACAAGGAAATCCATGCTTGTTTTAAAAGAATTACTGAACATTGGTCATGTGCAAAGCATTATTCTGAATATGAACATTTATTTCTCCCAACGTCTTTATTGAGTAAAGTTTATTATTATTATTATCTCTGTTTTGTACTTGAGGAGCCAGGAAGAGGCAGGCAGGTTTGGTGAGATGGTTCAAGGGGCAGAGGCACTTGCTGCCAAGCCCAACATGGCCAGAGTCCCATCCACAGGGGAGGATGTGAGAATGGACTCGCAAAAGTTGTCCTCTGACTTCCACATGCACACCATGGCACATACCAGCACACACGCATGCGTAAAAACACAAATACATAAAGAGGTAATAGAAAAAAAAAAAACAACAAAAAAAAACCAAAAACCTAAACCCACCAGAAATAGTTAGGTAAGATAGGTAGAGTAATGTGTGTGAGCAGAGTCCTGTGGGGTCCAGAGTTCCAGTGTTGAAGGTCTGAAGGTGGATCCTGGCCCTTTCTGGGGACACTCAAGGATGGCTCAGACATGTTCATAGTTACGTGTATTTCCACAGTCTGCCCTTTTTAAGAATATGAATGTGTAAGTCTCATAACAAAATTATTTACTGATAATCTAAAACCTTTGATCTGGGCTTGGTGGCATAGGCCTGTAATCCCAGCTAATGGAGAAGCTGAGGCAAGAGGATCAAAAGTTCAAGGCCTGCCTAGGCTAAAGTGGGTATTCGGAGCCAGGCTGGACAACTTAATGAGACCATGCCTCCCTGTCTCAAAATACAGGAAAAAGAGGTCTGGAAAGCAGTGCAGTGGTAGAGCACTTGCCTAGTGTGTGGTAGGCCCTGGGTTCAACCCTTAGTGCCACAACAAATAAGTCATTTTGAAGGAAAAATCACTATTGTGGCCATTATTAGGATGATTAATGAAATTTGAGTAGAGACTAAAATAGATAATACTGTTATATCATTGTTAAATGGATGGGGTTTGCTACTGTGTAAGAAATTGATCTGGCTCCCACATGCTGATTTGGGAGTATATGTGCTATACTTTCCTTTTTTTTTTTTTTTTTTTTTTTTTTGTTTTTTCTAGACAGGGTTTCTCTGTGTAGCTTTGTGCCTTTCTTGGGACTCACTTGGTAGCCCAGGCTGGCCTCGAACTCATAAAGATTCGCCTGGCTCTGCCTCCCAAGTGCTGGGATTAAAGGTGTGCGCCACCACTGCCCGGCCTTACTTTTTAATAGTATAGAGAGAGAATGATAAAGTTAAAAGACAGTCTGGTACCTATATGTAAAGATGTGTTGGTTTTGTTGTTGTTTGGTTTGGTTTTGTTTGATTTTTATGTGCATTGGTGTTCTGCCATGGTGTCGGGTCCCCTGGAACTGTAGTTACAGACAGGTGTGAGCTGCCATATGGGTGCTGGGAATTGAACCTGGGTCCCCGGGTCCTCTGGAAGAGCAGTCAGTGCTCTTAATCCCTGAGCCATCTCTTTTGGATTTTTGAGGCAGAGTTTTTCTATATAGCTCTGGCTGTCCTTGAACTCAGAGATCCACCTGCCTCTGTCTCCTGAGTGCTGGGATTAAAGCTTTGTGTCACTACCCCCAGCTAAAATGTGTTGTTGTTGTTTTCAGAGATAGTATCTCACTCTGTAACCCAGGCAGGACTGGAACTCACTATGTAATCCAGGCTGACTTCAAACTCATAGCAGTCCTCCTACCCCAGGCTCTGGAGTGCTGAGATTATAGACATGAGCTATCATGCCTAAGCCCATTTCTATCATTTGTTTTTGAAATTATATCAAAAGAAAGTCACCCCAAGTTGAAGGTAGAAAAACAGGAAATGAATGAATAACATTCTAGGTCAAGCCAAAAGATTGTTTCCTATGCTCTTTTTTTATTTTAATCTTTGTCATATTGGAGGAAGAACCTTGAAACAAAGTAATAATGATCAAAAGTAGACTGGAGGCCAGGGCTGTAGCCCAATAGTAGAGTATGGGCTTAGCATTATCCAGACCATGGGTTTGATCCTTAGTGCTGCACATATGTAGGCAGAAAATAGGCTGGCTCTCTTCCCCCTGTCCCTTTCCCTGAAGGAGCTCTGCCTGCCTGGAACTGGTCTAGAACTCACTCTCTGTGTAACCAGACTAGCCTAGAACTCATGGAGATCCACCAGCCTCTGTCTGCCAAGTGCTGGGTTAAAGACATGGGCTACCACGTCCATCTTTCTCACAACTTCTTTATTTGGGGGCGGGGGTGTCTTTATTTTTTTCCCCTGAGACAGGGTTTCTCTGTGTAACAGCTCTAATTATCCTGGAACTCACTCTGTAGTTCACTCAAACTCAGAGATTCGCCTGCCTCTGCCTCCTCAAGGCTGTATGCCGCCACCACCACCTGGCATCTGACATCTTTTTTTTTTTTTTTTTTTGCTTTTTCGAGACAGGGTTTCTCTGTGTAGCTTTGCGCCTTTCCTGGGACTCACTTGGTAGTCCAGGCTGTCCTCGAACTCACAGAGATCCGCCTGGCTCTGCCTCCCGAGTGCTGGGATTAAAGGCGTGCGCCACCACCGCCCGGCTGCATCTGACATCTTTTAAGTGGGGGAATAAATAAAAAATAAATGGGGGACTACAAACAAACAAACAGTTAATGCCTCTAATAGACCAGCTACAAAGAAAGCCCACTTTTATACTCAGGTTAAACTAGGTCGGTAGCTAAACACCTTTACCAGCTTTCCAGCATTTCTCTTCCTGACGTCGTGCACACTGGCTGGTGCCTGCCTGCACCCCATTCTTTGCCTGCTATGTCCTCCACAGCTGTTTAGGGGGCCCATCTCTAATTCCTGACAGAACTGGATTTTCTTCTGTCGTTGAGGACGTGCCAGTGACCTGGAGACATGACATGAAGCTCGGTGCTGTCTCCTGGTGTTGGGCAGCCCTTACTGAGCAGCTGTGAGTTGGAAACTGGCAGGCCCTGGAAACTGGAAGGCGTGGGCAGTCTGGAGTGGTTTGTAAGCAGCCGTATAACCTTAGAACAGAGAAGGGAGTGAAGGCCGATGAGAGCCCAGGCCCTCCCTGATGAAAGCCATAGTGAGACATTCTCCTTGGGTAGTTGGGGGGAGGGCGACTCCCCTCAGACCGGAACGTTCTCACACAGCAATGAAAAGAATCAGCTAAAAATGATTGTCTGACCTGTGGGCCACCAAGGGGCAGCTCGGAAGCTCTTGGGGACATGGTATATTTTCCAGACTTCCATTTTGTGCAGTGCACAGTCAGCCATCATTTTCCCATGGCTTTGAAGCCGTCCTTCATGGCTTAGGAGCAGTCGTATGAAATACACCATGGTACTGGCACACGGGGGCCCAGAGAAGCAGGAAACCAAGTTGGGAACTAAGAACTTAAAGGCCCCAGAGGGGGCAGCGCTGAAACCACAGAGACCCAAGTGTGAAGAGTGACCGCCGCAGGGAGAGACTGCCGTGAAGGAAGGGGCATCGAGGGTGACTGCAGAAGGTGGTTTCCGATGCTTAGGAGGCCTTTCTTGTCAGTAGTGGGGGGAGGTGAAGCCAAGAGAGAAGGGCAGCTGCCTGGCAGACAAAACCCTGGAGAGAGTGGAGTGGAGGAAATAAGGTAGGCGAGCCCACTCTGCAGGAAGTAGGTAGAAGAGGAGCAGGTGGGTGACGGACAGCAAGGTGGGGATGTTGGGGATGCAACATGAACAGGCTTATGTGCCGAGGTGGATGCAATGGATAGTATGGCAGACAGTTGAATGAGGCCCTGTTGGGGAATGTGACTGGATGGCCCTACAGGAGACTCTACTCTGGTGTCTTCCAGTGCCTGGCGGTAGGTGCCCAGAATATTGACAGAAACAAGTATAGAGATGCAGTTTTTTAAGGTCTCTTGAGTGGTATAAAATAATGGGAAACTCCGCTATTTTTATCCCATAGTTAACAACCAGTAGGGAATGTATCCTATGTAAGCAATGTATCTGCAGCCTGTGTCCTTTGAAATGAAAGGGGAACTCACAAGTGCAGTCATAATAATCATGATCACTCAGTGTCTCTGTCACTCATGTGTTTTCTTCAGTCCCAGGTCATCATCTTGAAACATGTCGTGTCCAAAGGGACACTGCATGATGAGTGTGGTGTGGTTCCCTGAAGAGCCAGACACAGGCAGATTCTGCCCCAGTGTTTTACAGAGGGACAGTACCAGCTTGAGGCCGCTGACTTTAAGTGCACAATGTCTAAAAGTTCAAAAGTGTCCTCTGGATTGTCTTCCAGCTTTAGTAGTGTGTTTACACACTTGTAGTGTGTGTCCACAAACACCTTATAGAGGGAACTCGGGGACCTAAGCAACTTAATTATTTGAGAGTCTGCCCAGAAAAAAAACCCGGCTGGTTAAGAAAGGCAGAGCCTCACAGACAGCATTTCAGGGTGCAGATGGCGAGCAGACCGTGTGGGTGTGATTCTGCTGGGCCACTTCCAGTGTTTTCCACCTAAAACCCAAAACAAATATGTGAAGGCCGCTCTGGCTCCCACTTTGCCTCGCTCTGCTTGTAAACTAAAGTACATATTGACGCGCTCATGTCACATCATCCTCTTCATCCCGTTTTCACTAGGAAGCGCTTGCTTTTTTGCTTCTTCATATTTCATTGCCCCATAAAATCTGCTATGCAAATCAGATTTGTAGATAGAAAATTCATTTGTGAGAGCTGGAGCTGACTTAGATGCTGATTGATCTTTCCTGGATAAAGTCGTTTTGCTTGATGAATTGCTGTCTTGAGAAATAGATTGACTGAACATGATAAGGCCTTCAGTTTTTTTCTCTGTTGTTTTCCTTTTTTTTTTTTTTTTTTTTTTTTTTTTTTAAGCAGTAAGTGTCTGGCAGATATCCTAGAACTTTACCCACAGAGAAGATGCTACGAGACACCATGAAGTCTTGGAATGATAGCCAGTCAGATCTCTGTAGCAGCGACCAGGAGGAGGAAGAGGAGATGGTCTTCGGTGAAAATGAAGACGACTTGGAAGAGATGATGGATCTGAGCGACCTGCCCACCTCACTTTTTGCTTGCGGTGTCCACGAAGCAGTGTTTGAGGTCCCAGAGCAGAAGGTAGGCCCGCCCCCAGTCCCTGCGCTCTCTCTATGGGAAGCAGAGATAGCTTTGGGCAGACAGGTCCGAGGGCCCGTGACATGAAATAACACAGTGTGGGGCACACAGGACCACTCCCTGCATCTTAGGAGAGTCTCCGTCTACCACGGACAATGTGCTTCAGAGTCCATCCTCCCGCTCCACTTGAGAAGCATTGGCTTCTAGTGAACTCTGCTATCGAGGCTCATTAAATGTGCTTTTTATTCACTCACTGAGTTTTGAAGAAAAACTCTTTTTTTTTTTTTTTTTTTTTTTTTTTTTTTTTTTTTTTTTTTTTTTTTTTTTAGGAGTTTTTTTTTTTTTTTTTTTTTTTTTCTTTCCTGGATCTCACTCTGTAGACCAGGCTGGTCTCGAACTCACAGAGATTCACCTGGCTCTGCCTCCCGAGTGCTGGGATTAAAGGCGTGCGCCACCATCGCCCCGCCGAAGAAAAGCGTTTAACGTTTTAACGTTTTGCTTGAAGAAATTAAATATACATAATGTGATTCATTAGCAATTTTGTTTGTGTATATAATGTGTTTCTGCCATATACATCCTGTCCTCCTCTCCTGTGCCTTTCCTACCTCCACTGAGTCCTCCTTTACCCAACAAATGCTGCTGTTGTTTGAGACAAGGTCTTGCTTTGCAGCCCAGGCTGGCCTGGGATAGGCTGTGTGGCTCAGGCTGGCCTAGGATTTGCTGTGTGGCTCAGGCTGGCCTGGGATAGGCTGTGTGGCTCAGGCTGGCCTGGAATAGGCTGTGTGGCTCAGGCTGGCCTGGAATAGGCTGTGTGGCTCAGGCTGGTCTGGAACTTCCAGTGATCTCCCAGCTCTAACTCCTGAATACTGAGATATGTCACAGGAATATGTCACCATTCCCAGCCTCCAAGCACATGTTGTTTTTTTTTTGCCTGGCTTTCTCCTTATGCATTCACTAAAGAAGGAATTCAGAGCCAGGCAGTGGTGGCATACGCCTTTAATCCCAGCACTAGGGAGGCAGAGGCAGGGGGATCTCTGTGAGTTCA